GGAGGGAGGGAAGGAGGGAGGGAGGGAGGGAGAGAGGGAGGGAGAGAGAGGTAGGCTATTCTGGATACTAGGACAGCGGGTGATGTGGGATTGGGAGGACCTGGGGGTCAGCATGCCCATTAGACCCAGACAGGTATGACTGGATAGAGCACTGGCCTTGGAGGCAGGCAGCTTTGTATGTGACCTTGGGAATCCCTATGTAGAATATAAGGTTCTTTTCAGATGTAAGATTTTATAAAAATTTAAAAATTCTCTAACACTAAATGCAATGTGGAGTTCTGGATTGGATCCTGGAACAGATAAAGGACACTAGTAGAAAAAAACATGAAATCCCAGTAAAGTCTGTAGTTGAGTTAATAATACTGTGTTGCTCAGTTGTGTCAAATGTGCCACAGTTATGTAAGACGGTAGCATTAGGGGAAATTGGGTGAATGTTATATGAATGTTATATGAAAATCTCTGTGCTATATTTGCATTTTTTATGTAAATTTGAAATAATCCAAACCAAAAAATTTATTTAAAGAAAACATATTCCTGAAGAGTCAGGAGGCAGGGGAGTTATGGAAGAAGCTGAGGAGTAGGGTTCTGACACCTCTGGATTATAATCACCAGCTGTGTGACCTTGAACAAGCTGCTTAGTCTTTCTGAGCCTCATTGCCTTATCTTGAAAGTGGGGGGAGATAATACCCAGGACCAGGGATGTTGGGGAAAGAAGTAATGCAGATTCAGCACAGTAATTGGATATGCAGGACTGCTCCTTCTGTTCTTCATGCTACAGCTTCCCCTGGGCTTCATGGGTCTCTGGGCTGGCCTTGGAGACTTCCTGGGCTGCCCTCTGACTCTCACATCTCTCAGACTCACCTTACCTAGTCTTGTGACCCTTACCTGAGCCATGATATCCCAGCCTTTCCCACCCATGTCTTTCCTGGTTGGTCCTGCTAGAGGGGGGTTGCCTGTCTCTGAGGTGGGATGCCTGCCTGCTGACCCTCTGCCCACTACCCACAGACAGGGGCACCATCCACAAGGTGGTGAAGTCGGAAGAGTGGGAACACAGCCTCATCTTCAACATCATGGAGATCCAGCCCTTCCGCCGCGCAGCAGCCATCCAGGCCATGTTACTGGACCCTGACCGGGTGAGCCTCCCCACCCCTAGCCCTGCCCTGTGAGGCTACCCAGTTATGGCCAGCTGAGAACAGAGCTCTTTTGCATGTAATTCACATGTCCTTTTCAGAACTTTTGGGCTGTAGGCCAGCTGGGAGTTTAGAACTCAGTGTTGGGGGTGAAAGTCCTAGCCTGACGTGGTCTCTCATTCCAGCGGAAACTGTATGTGAGCTCCCAATGGGAGGTGAGCCAGGTGCCCCTGGACCTGTGTGACATCTATGGTGGGGGCTGCCACGGCTGCCTCATGGCTCGAGACCCATACTGTGGCTGGGACCAGGGTCACTGTGTCTCCATCTACAGCTCCCAAAGGTATGTTGGCTGTGATCCCTTGTCCCTGGGAGAAAGTGGATACAGGATGTGGGTGGGGTAAATGGGCTGCAGGAGGCATCAGTGCTAGGTGCTGGGCCATTCTGGCCAGACCCTCCTCTTGGTAGACACTGTGGCAGATACTGGGTTAGGGATGAGGACAGGGAAGGGCCAGGTGTATGGCCTTCTGTCTGCTTAGCCTCTCTCCTCCCAACTCCAGGTCGGTACTGCAGTCTATTAATCCAGCTGAGCCACACAAAGAGTGCCCCAACCCAAAGCCAGGTACCTGATTTAGCCCTGTCAGGGCCCCAGTAAAATGAGGGTAGTACACCATGCCCCGACTGCTCTCTCTGAGGGAAACATGGTCTATTTCTGGGGGCCCCCTAGGTGTGGGGGTGGTTGTAAGAGGGATGGGGTGAGGGAGGCAGGGGAGAATAAGAAGACTGGGTGCTCGGATCCTTGTGTTCATTTAGAAACCTTGGCCTTGGAGGCCTGGGGGAGGACGCAGGCTGCCCTGAGAGCTCTCAGCCCCTTCTCATAGCTGCCTACCCGTCCCCACCAGATGAAGCCCCGCTGCAGAAGGTCTCCTTAGCCCGGAACTCTCGCTACTACCTGAGCTGCCCCATGGAGTCCCGCCATGCCACCTACTCATGGCGTCACGGGAAGAAGGTGGAGCAGAGCTGTGAGCCTGGCCACCAGAGTCCCAACTGTATCCTGTTCATCGAGAACCTCACGGATGGCCACTATGGACACTACTACTGCGAGGCCCAGGAGGGCTCCTACCTCCAGGAGGCACAACATTGGCAGCTGCTGTCTGAGGATGAGGCCAAGGCCCAGCACCTCCTGGGCTGTTCCCATGCCCTTTTGGCCTCCCTCTGGCTAGGGGTCCTGCCAACACTCACTCTTGGTCTGCTGGTTCATTAGGGCCTTCTGGGGCTGGGCATGTTGTAGGCTTCTGCAGCCCAGGGCACTAGAAGTCACACCCAGAGACACCCTGGCTGGGAGCTCCTTGCTCGCCACTGCTTCCAGGGGGACTGCATAGCTCAACAGGGGACGCCAGGCCTGGAGATGGCCAGCCACAGGCAGCTGCTGGGCCCGGGTGGGGTGGGGGCGATGGGGGCCAGAGAATGAAGGCACCGACTATGAAGCTGGGGCTTTGGTGGCCCAAGACTTTATCTTCTGGAGACTATTTTTGAAAAACTTCCTCAAACTTGACCAAATTCAGTGATGCTCCTGGTCCAAGAGCCCATTGGCCAGAGAGGTTGGGAAAGGGGAGCTGGGATCCCGTTTCTGGACCTTCGAATGCTCTATACTCAGATTGCCCCCTCATCCTCTCTCCTGCCATTGCAGGGGGTGGTTGGTGTTTTTGCAGGCCCAGGGCTGCCCTCTGTGGCCCCTCACCAGCCCTGGGTCCCACTAAGGCAGCCTCCTTGCATGTTTATTGAAGGATGTTTGCTTTCCGGACGGAAGGACGGAAAGAGCTCTATTTTTATGTTAGGCTTATTTCATGTACTGCTACTTCCGACTGCATCTGTATGAAAATACCAAAACTACATGCTGGGGGTGGGGTGGGGAAGGGAGGGGCTGGGAAGGGATAGGTTGTGGGGGTTCCCAGTCTGAGGCTCTTGGGCATGGGATAAGAGTCCAGGGACATGGTGGCATGGGTTCAAGGAGGTGGCATGAGCTGGCTCTGCCCTGGGAGCCCAGGCTGAGGGGGACATTGTCCAAGCCCCCCTGTTGGTTATGGGAGGGGGTGGGGTGAGGGAGACAGGGAAAAATGAAGGAAAATCTGAGACCTAGATTCACACATTCATATAGGAGTTGGTCCTCAAGGGGAGGTTCCAGGACTCTGCCCTTGGCATTGGGGAGTGGGAGGTGGGGGCCCCCTCCCCTCCCCTCAATCCCCTTCCCCAGGGGCTGTGCTTCCATGCCCTAGCCTCCCACCTTCAGCTCAGGACATGCTATAACTAAGGCTAAACTGTGAATTCCTGTGGGGACAGTCTGGGCCAAGCTCTGCAGGTGGGTGGGTCGGCCCCAACCCTGTCCATGGATTTCTATGGAGAGCTGGGCCTTCTCTGGTGTGTCTGGCCAGCCCAGGGCAGGGCCTGGGGCTGGTGACCTTCCAGCTTTGGCCCCTGCATCTTTTTTCAATGCACTTTAATGATGTAACATATTACTAATAAACAAGTTATTTATTTACCTGTGCCTGATCCTTCCCTTCAAAGCCATTCTGGTCATGGGGTGAGGGCTCTTGTTTGTGACTCCACTTCCTGTCTGTGTGAGCATCACCCCCACCCCTGGTCACTGGCCCTCTCAGAGGCTTGAAGGGGAGGACACCCTCAGCAGGGCTTCTAGCTAGTGAGGCAGGAACAGGATTCTAACCCAGTGCTCCTGAGCAGTGCACTGCCTGCTAAGCCATGGACCCTAGAGCCCAGACAGCTCCTGCATCCCACCTCCTCTCACCTTTCCCCTTTCCCAGTCTCCACCCCCCATAGTTCCCCCTTCTTGTCTGGCCATGCTAGAAATAGCCTCAGGTCTCCCTGCCTTCTAGGTGCCCATTCTAGGGAGTAAGCTAATCAGCTAAGAGCTGGTGGGATAAAACTGCGATGATAGAAGGGTGTGTATAGGGGGCTAGAAGGCAGCTGGAAGGGGTGCCTAAATGGAGTGAAGTGCTTACTCCAGGCTTGGCCCATGAGGCAGGGTAGGTGTTGGTCTGCATGCAGAGGGGACAGAGGGATAGTGGGCAGGGTTTGTGTGCTAGCCTGGGGCTCGACCTTTCAACCCCAGGGCAATGACAGGGCTGTGGTGGGATTTGTAACATAGAAGCTCTTGAATTCCCTAAAAGATAAAGCAAATACATTTTACAACCTAGAAGGATGTGTGAAAAGGGGCCCCTGAAGCTGGGGTGGGAAGTAAGGAGAGTTAGAGGCTGTCCAGGGGTATGAGTGGGTGGGTCCAGGGATGAAGGGTAGGGTTAATGGGGGATTCAGAGAGGAATCTGGATGTCCTCCAGGGGCCTCCTTCCATTTTCTCTCCTCTCCCCTTCATTCCCTTCTCACCTGCCCCTTTGGCTGGGACCCATGCCTTTTGGGGTTTGCTGGGAAGTTTTCCAGAGCAATAACTGCTGGAGGGGGGATGTGGCAATGGAACTTGGGACAGCTCCCTCTCTGAGTCTGAGTCCAGCTTCTGGGAGGCTCTGGCAGACCCCACAGGGCTGGAATCACCCCCACCCACGGCACTCCCCTTCAGTCTGCCCTGAGATCTCCTGGGCTAGCCCCACATTGAAGATTCTGCCTGGTTCTCTGCTCTCTCACACCCAGCCTTTCTAGGGTGACCAAGGTGGCAGCAGATGCTTGGGTCAGTCCAAGAGTTTGGGGGACCTGGATGAGCACTGGACTGGGGGCAGAGATCCTGGGCTGCCATCACCTTTTATGATCCTGGGCAGCCCTTGCCTTTCCTAAGCCTCATTCTCCTCATGTAAGAGGTAGGGACTGGACCAGGGCTTCTGGGGGGCACCTTCTGACACACTGTTCTGGGTTATAAGACCAATTTACATTGTCTTGGAAGGAGCTCAGAATCTATATCTTAGGCCCATCTATCTGTTTACCCAGCTCATAGCCAAGCTGCAGAAGAAGCACAGGGGCTTCCCAGGCCCTCCCCACTCCCCCCAAGCAAGTTCCTCAAAGGGAAAGGACAGAGGAAGTGGGTTTCAGGAGCAGCTAGTAAAGAAAGTATGGGCCTGCCTGGATTGCTGGGTGACCTCCTGTGAGGTCTCTGCCTTCTCTGGACTTCAATAGGCCCCCTGTTTCCTGCAGGGATGCTCTTGGTGCCCCATGTGCGTAGGGCAAGGAACTCAAAGGAAAGAACACATTCCTTTGTCTGTACAGAGGCACCAGGAGAGGCCAGGCTGGCAGGTGGGTGGGAAGCCGTGTGCATGGAGGCATGAAATGAGTCCTGTAAATCCATGTGAATGGCCAAGCACAAACCTCCCTCTCTCTGGCTTTCCCCTGACACACAAGTAGCGCAGTGGATGTGGGGCAGCGGTGGGTGCCTGGCCATTAGGCTGGGACTGGGGGCATGGAGATCCACACAATATGGCACCAATATTGGCTTCTTGGGTGCTGGGGCCAGGGCACAGGCCCAGCCTTCTGCCCTCTGTCTTGTGCATCCTCCCCCACCCCAGGGGAGAAGTGGGGTGCAAAACGGGGAGCAAGACTGAAAAACCAAAGCTCAGCTCTCCTGGGAAAGCCAGCAGGGAATGGGAAACTATGTCTCCCTCAGTTCATAAATTAAAGGGCCACTAAGGCTTACTTTGAGTAGGTCCAAATCTTGCCAACCTATCTCCCTTGGGGGAAGGCCACTGCCTTCTCTCTCCCTGCTGTTGAAACCCTTTAACAGCTCCTTCCATATGCAGACCTGATGTTCTGACCCAGCACTCACAGCCCTGTGCACCCCCTGTCTTCTCCATGCTGTCCCCCTCAGTCCTCTACCTACCTTTGCTGGAAATACTCTGTACCGTTGCTCCTATGAGGCTTTCCCCTGGGATGCCAGGATAGGATGATCCCAAGCAGAGGTTCCAGAATGACCTTGAATTCTTCAAAGGAGTCCTGGACAAACCCCCCTAATGCCTTTCCTGCTCAGTTCTGAGCTGAGGGTGGGAGATGGAGCTTTGTGGCCAGTTATCTAGAATCAGGCCCTGGGGTACTGGTGAGGGAAAGCACAGCCCCTTCCCTCAAGACCCTCACAGGCTGGTAGGGGAGGCAGATGTGGGGCTGGATGGTGATCATCTGTGTGATGATCCTAGGTGGAAGGGTACCCAACCCATGGAAAATCAGGGAAAATTTTGGCGGAGAAGTCTCTGACGAATAGAAGAGGGAACAGCACTCGTGTGTGTGTGAGGGCCTGGAGTGTTATGGGCTTGGCTGGAGTAATGTGACCTCCAAGAAGGCAGAGGCCCTTCTCAGTTTTGGTCACAGCTGCAACTCTATCACTGAGAACAGTGCCTGTATAACCCACCCCTCCATTCTTTTAATATTGTTTCCATTAAAAGTGTTTTTATAAAAGGTGAATTGTTAACTAATATGTAACCCATAGATAAACTGCATATTTGTGTAAGAGTTCAAAGGAAGCTGACTCCAGTAACTGGACGTTCTGGCTCTAGGAGACTTGCTGATGGTCAACCATAAAAACTAGAACAGTTTTGAGGTAATCATCAGAATAGACTGTGCTGACTTACACATGAAAAGCTTTCAACTCCCCTCTCCCCCTGATTTTTTGTTCTGCTTTCCCTGTCCTTCCTAATAAAAACCCTTGCCTGCATTGAGATGTGAAGATGGTCTTTTTGTTGGTGTTAATCCTCACCTAGGGATATTTTTTCCATTGATTTTTTTTTTTTAGGAGAGTGGACTGGAAGGAGGGGGGGAAAGAGGTGATAATAGATGATAGATAGATAATAGAGAGATGATAGATAATAGGTAGATAGATGATGATAGATAGAAAGATAGATAGATATAGATAGATGATAGGTAGATGATGATAGATAGATGAAAGATAGATATAGATAGATGGTTAGATAGATAGATAGATAGATAGATAGATAGATAGATAGATAGATAGATAATAGATAGATAATAGATAGATAGATAATAGATAGATAGATGATGATGATAGATAGATAGATGATAGATAGATAGATAGATAGATAGATAGATAGATATAGATAGATAGATAGATAGATAGATAGATAGATAGATAGATAATAGATAGATGATAGAGACATTGATAGGTTGTCTCCCACACACGCCCCGACCGGATATGTGCCCTTGACCAGGGATGAACCTGAGACCCTTTGGTGCATGGGCCGATGCTTTGAGCCACATCCACCACGGCTGAAGATGGTCTTTAGGATGGGAGTCTGCCATCTTCTCAGGCTGCTGGCACTTGAATAAGCCATCTTTCCTTACATCAGCACCTGTGTCTCAAGTATTGGCTTTTGAAGCAGCAGGTAGCTGAACCTGACTTCAGTATCACCTGTAATATATTTTTGTTGAATGAATGAATAAGATGAGAGAGGGAAGAGTATCTGGAAGTGAGATTGAATGTGTTTCAGCTCCTGGGAGCCAAGGCCCTAGCTCTTTATCCTGCCAGTTATAGGGAGCCATTAAAGAGTTTTGAGCAGGGGTCGGTGGGTGATTATGGCAATGCTAATATGGATAATGGGGGCCTGAGATTAAGTTTTTCTCATACCTCATCCATGCCTGCCTCGCTTCAAGCTCACTCCCTCTCCCATTCTCAGGCATTTCCGGCTGCCTGCACAGCCCAATTTTAGCCTCATTGTCTGGAAAAGCAAAAGGAGACTCTGGGCTGGGCCATCCCAGCAAGGCTTCCGGCCAGGAGGTCTGCAGATGTGGGCTGGTGGAATGGGGCTGGAATGGCTAATTTAGGATCAGGAAACACTTTTATGTTGGTATTGGTTAACATTGGGAAAAAGAGACCTTGGGGGAAAAACAAAAACAAAACTCACATTCCCAGGATGAAGGAAAGAACAGTACCACACCCAGGAGACACTTGCCCAGTTACTGTGCTGGGGACTTTCTGGAGGATGGTGCCCATGCCAGAACTGATTAAAGTCCCAGAAGTCAGACTGGCAGTTTTTTCAGGTTGGGCAAAATGAATGGGCTCAGAAGGGCCTAGGTTGGGCCTGTAACACAGGGGCAGGCACACAGCCTGCAACTTTACCCAGCTCCCAGACATGCCCATGCTCATAGCAGACATCACTAATCAATCATCCTTTCTCCTGAGCTCTGGTGAGGGATTTCCTCAGAACTGCATTCTCCAAGGGCCAATGAACCCTTGAAATGCAGCTCATCTGAGCTGATATGTGATGTAAGTATAAGACATACTGAATTTTGAAGATGTAATATGAAAAAAAGAGTATCTTATTAATAAATGGTTATATTGATTACACATAGAAATTAAAATGTTTTGGTATATATTGAGTTAAGTAAACTATATTGCAAATGTTAATCTCATTTGTTTCTTTTCACTTCTATTTAATCTGGCTGCTAGAACATTAAGAATTATCTGTGTGGCTCACATGTATTTCTATTGGCCAGCACTGCTATAGAAATCTGTCCCACCAGGACAGAAAATTTTATCTTTTTCATTCACAGCTAAATCTCCAGCATCTAAATAGTGCTGGGAACATAGCAGGTGCTCAGTAATTATTTGTGGAATAAATGAATGAATCCTCATAAACACTGCTTTTCAGGGAGCCCCCACCAATTGGTGAGAGGGACTGTATTTGCTATCTGTAGCCTATGTAGTAGTTCCAGCATGGTGCTAAAATCCCCCATGTGTGCTTTCTGATTTTAGAGCTGGTATCACTCTCTGGGGACTCTCCTGATCCCCAGGAGAGGGTAGCTGGAGGTGCACTCTGGTCAATACACTGCTCCCCTGAGGGTCCTCTGAAAAGGGACTTTCTGTTCCTTCTGATGAGGAAGCAGGGCAGCATGCAAATGATATGGAAATAACCTCTCATGTGTATTTGCATGCCTGGGGTTGCTGGGGATGCTTCCCGTTCACATCCTGACCCTACCCCCTTGTCCCTAGGGACAAAACAGGAAGCTCTGCAGACCTTGAGCTCCAGGAGAAAGCAAGGCCACCTTAGTCTTTTCCCAGTGAGCAAGAGCTGTAGCCCAGAGCATTCCTGTCTCTCCCATCCAGTAGGAGCCTAAAAATAGTCTGCGGTTCTAGCCTCCCCCATAGCTGTCCTCTGCTGAGCTGGGCCCTGTGCCTGGCAGCTCCTCCACAACCCAGAATGTCTGCATAGTCCTGCCTCAGCCACCAACCCCTGAATCCTCACCCTCTGTCCCATCCTGGCCCCTGGGACCCTGAACTCAGCACTGCCATTGTAAAACCTGCTGAGGGTCTGCCTATTGCTCTGCCCTCCCAAGCAAACTGGGCTCTGACCCCCTGGACCTCCAAATTCCATGCTCTATCCACTCTATTGTTCTTAAGGGGATGTTAGCCAGATGCAGAGGTGGGGTGAGGAGTTCTAGGCAGTGGAACTGAGACAGGCCAGTAAGCCAGGGCAAGCAAAATAGGGAAACTGAGACAGATAGCTGAACAAACTGGCTGAGCAATTTATAGCACATACAGAAGTTCACCTCCCTAGAGATAACATCTAGGCCTCAGTTATATTTCAGCCCCAGGCCCAGAAAAGCAGCAAAACCAGGTGGGTGATGCAAGGACCACCAAAACCAGCTGCTATGGCTATGATCCCCTGCCCTGGCACTAAGCAATCAGTGAAGACCACGACCCTCAAAGGACCCACCTGGAAAGCTGATGAATATCTATTGAGTTCCTCCTCTGGGACCTCCCTTAAGTTCTCACCCTTAAAAGCTTTTAGGCTCTGGCCAGTGTGGCTCAGTTGTATACCAAAAGGTGGTGGGTTTGGTTCCCGGTCAAGGTATATACCCAGGTTGTGATTTTGATCCCCATTCTGGGCATGTGGGGGAGGCAACCAATTAATGTTTCTCTATCATATCAGTGTCTCAGCCCTGCCCCCTTCCTCTCTCTGAAAATCAGTATAATTTTAAAAAAACCTTTTAGGAAGGGAGACCCAGTGCACTCTCCCTCTGGGGAGCACTTTCACTCCATTCCCTTCTCCCCACATAAAGAGCTTCCTACATGGAAAGCTCTCCCCCCACAGGCCTACATCTCCCCCCACAGGCCTACATCTCCAAAATTCTAAGAATCTCCATGAGACTTGCAACCAAGGCAGCAATGGGCAGTGGTAGCTCGTCCCAGGCTAACCTCCTGAACCTGTTCCCAAAGCCCCCTTTTATCTGACTTCCCAGTGAGCTAAGGCAACCCAGCCTAGGCTCTCCTGTTGCTTCTTCTATGCTAAGCCCTTCCTTGTTTTACTCTCCCAAGTTTAAAAAAAACCAAATCTATTGTATTGTTGAAAGTATTACAGATGTCCCCCTTTTTTTCCCATTGATTCCCTCCACCCTATATCCACCCCCTCCCCAGGCCTTCACCACATTATTGTCTGTGTCCATGGATTATGCAAACATGTATATAAGTTCTTTGATTAATCTCTTCCGACCCACTCCCCCACCCCCACCTTCCCACTGAGATTCATCAGCCTGTTCCATGGATCTATTTAGTTTATCAGTTTATTTTTCTTATTAGATTCCACATATGAGTGAAATCATGTAAAACTGAATCAGGAAGAATCAGAAAACCTGAATAGGCTGATAACAACTGATGAAATTGAAGCAGTAATAAAAAAAACTCCCAGCAAACAAAAGCCCTGGTCTGGACAACTTTACAGGGCAGCTTTACCAAACATTCTACTTCTTATTATAGCAGTCCCTTTAACATTTCTTGCAGTACTCCTTTGGTGATGATAAAGTCCTTTAGCCTTTTTTTTCCATGTTGGAAGCTCTTTATTTCACCATCTATCTTGAATGATAGCCTTGTTGGATAGAGTAGTCTTGGTTTCAGATTCTTGCTTTTCATTACCTTGAATACTTCATGCCGTTCCCTTCTGCCCTGTAGAGTTTCTGATGAGGAATCAGCTGACAGCCTTATGGGAGCTCCCTTGTAGGTAACAGATTGCTTTTCTCTTACTGCCTTTAAAATTCTCTCTTTAATTTTTGGCATTTTAATTATGATGTGTTTGGGCATGAGCCTCTTCTAGTTGTTCTTGCTTGAGACTCTCTGAGCCTCCTGAACTTGTGTGACTTTTTCCTTCACCAGGTTAGGAAAGTCTTCTGCCATTATTTCTTCAAACACGTTCTCTAACCCTTGCTCACTTTCTTCCCCTCTGGCAACCCTATGATGCAAATATTATTGTTTTTTGTTGTCGCACAGCTCCCTTAAGCTGTCCTCCTGTTTTTTAATTGTTTTTTCTTTTTGGATCTCTGATTGAGTGATTTTTTTTCTACCCTGTCTTCTAATTTGCTGATCTGTTCCTCACATTCTACTAATCTGCTGTTTATCCCTTCCAATGTATTCTTTATTTCTGCTATATCATTCTTAATTTTCTTCATAGTTTCCATATCTTTTCTCATGCTGTTGAGCATCCTTACAATCATTATTCTGAGCTCTATATTTGATAGATTGCTTATTTCCATTTCATTTATCCTTTCTTCTGGAGAATTCTCTTGTTCTTTCATTTGGGGCTTTTTGTTGTTGTTTTTTGGTTTCCCCATATTGGTAGCCTGTTTGGGTTTGTTTCTATGTATTAGGTACATCTACCAGGACTCTCAGTCTTTTTGGAGGGTCTCTGGTGCAGGCCAATGTCAGAT